GAACCCATTGAAATAATGGTACTTCTAACTCAGGTAAACTTGGAGACCTTCCTGGATGTAACTTTTTAATATATAGAGCTGAAGTCATAAGTTGCTCCCTTTTTTTTCCAATCCCTTATTTGCTTTAGTTCAATATCAAACCTTTTTGCTGCAGCCTTTTTAATTTGAACTCTTTGTGCATAATGTAATATCATAAGTTTTTCGCGAGAACACCATTGTCATTGAAGTTTTTTAGTAACATTAGCATGCTTACGACGATTATCACCATAGTTAAATCAAAAAAATTATCGCATCACATCTATTAACTTGTTACCTATATATAGTTAAGACTTTTTTGCCATGTATTGTACCCCCAAAATTGATTTTTTTTTTAAAAAAAAAAAGTTTCTCACACCAAAGTACCCCTCCGATTATAGTATCCTTAAAATTTTGTATAATGTAAAATACTTGGGATACTATTGAGCGCACTTTACAATAGTCTATTATTTTTTTGCTATATATCATTATATAAATAAACAATATATTTTTGTTCTAATTCATTACAATCTTTAAATATTAATTAGCTGGTATCAAAACAACTTGTCAAATTGTGTTTTATTGTAATGTGACATTGATGTTGTAATAGCATTTGATCAATTTGAGCATCCTCAGAAATATTGAGCATATTGTTAAATTGAACTTCATTATTCTCATTATTAGTATCATTATTATCAAAGTTATAGGTAGAATTATCATATTTTAAAGTACATATACTATTCTGAATAATAGTAACATACCTGGATGGATTGTAACTAATTTCAATAGTTGGCAAGATTAAATTCATTACCTTTAAAATCTATAATCAATAAAAAGTTTACTAACTATATTATAATTGCATAATAAATAAAAATTATTTTACAAACCTTCAACATATTAGAATCTATATCAAACACATTAGAAAAGTCTGATAAGGTTTCGGAAAGATTGTCTTTTACAGTTGAAAGACAGATATTATTATTATCTAGTTGTATCAGGTTTCTTTAAAAGCCAAAATATATATTGTTTTTTAAAAAATGTTTTTATATAAATTAATAATAAATAAATCTTAATAAAAATCTTTACCTTTCATTTTATAATTCATCGCATATAGCCAAATATGTGTTCTAAAAAAACAGACAAGGATATAATAAAATTCCAGGATAATTATTTGGAAATTGGTGAATTAGAAAAGTAAGACCAAGGTAAATAAAGTCATCATTTGATTGCTAAGATATGCTATATTTTTGAGAGTTTTTTTGATTTTGATTTGATTTTAAGTAATGTCATGTTGTAGAAAAAACATTATTACTGCACAAATAAGCTGAATCCCATTATATGTTGAACTATAGCATAGTAATTATCTTAATTAAGTATATACATAATACATAATTATGATAATTAATTACCATTTTTTTTAAAAAAAATATAATTGCAAAATTAATTATGGGGGTGTAATTAATTACAGGAGACGTAATTATTACAGGGATGGTAATTAATACTTATAGACATAATTAATTATCCCTTAGATTGTAGGGTTTCACAGACAAATTTGCCTGCTTATTTACTATAAATTCTCTTCTGATTTACTTTTATAAATA